GCTTGGCGGCCCCGGACCACAGCAAGGCGCGCTACCACGACTATAGCATCATGGCGGTGAATCCGCTCGGCGTCGTCGTCTCGGGGTCCGCGCTGTCGGACGAGCTCCGGAGTGCCGCCCACAACATCCTGTACACGGTGGTGGACGAGCTGAACAGCGAGGACCTCGTCGAGGTGGTCGACCACGACCACGAGGCAGCCCCGTGCATCGCGACGGCCTGCCTGGCCGCGGGGGCGAGCGAGGACCGCGGCCAGCTGGTGCTCGTCGACGGCAAGCGCGGCGCTTGGGGAGTGGGCGCGGGGCCGAGCGTCAAGGTCCAGCGCCAGGCGGCCAAGCTGGCGCTCGCCCTGGCCCAGTTCCAGGGGCAGCCCATGCCAGGGCTCCGCGAGCTCTGCAATAACAACAAGGGGCTGCTCGACATGATGCGCACGGTGGACGCGGAGGCGGTCGGCGGGCTCACCGACGTGGAGGGCGCCTCGAGCAAGGGCGAGGCGGGTCCTGCTCCGGCCCCCGCGCTCGACCCGAGCGAGGACGCCGTGACCGCGGCGCTGGCGCGAGCGGCCATCCAGGCTGCAGCGCGGCGCCGGAGCAAGGGCGCCCGGCGGAGCGCCCTCGGCCCCCACGCTCTCCGGAGCAGAGGCGCCTCGCCGAGGAGGTCCGCAGGCGCGACGGCAAGCGCGGCGCTTGGGGAGTGGGCGCGGGGCCGAACGTCAAGGTCCAGCGCCAGGCGGCCAAGCTGGCGCTCGCCCTGGCCCAGTTCCAGGGGCAGCCCATGCCGGGGCTCCGCGAGCTCTGTAAGAACAAAAAGGGGCTGCTCGACATGATGCGCACGGTGGACGCGGAGGCGGTCGGCGGGCTCACCGACGTGGAGGACGCCTCGAGCAAGGGCGAGGCGGGCCCTGCTCTGGCCCCCGCGCTCGACCCGAGCGAGGGCGCCGTGACCGCGGCGCTGGCGCGAGCGGCCATCCAGGCTGCAGCGCGGCGCCGGAGCACGGGCGCCCCGGCGGAGCGCCCTCGGCCCCCACGCTCTCCGGAGCAGAGGCGCCTCGCCGAGGAGGTCCGCAGGCGCGATCGGGTCGTCCGGACCCCCTCGCGCACGCGGCGCCGCGACCGCGAGCGCGAGGAGCACCGCGGCCGCGAGCGCGAGGAGCGCGCGGAGGAGGCCGTCTTGAAGCCCAAGACTGGGGGCGCACCTCCGAGGGCCGTCGTCGTGAAGCGGGGGGCCGTCCTGAAGCCCAAGAGCGGAGGGGCCCCGCCGAGGTCCCTCGAGGTGAAGACGGAGGTGGAGGAGACGACGACGCCAGGCGCGGGGGACAGCCCACCCCAGCGCCGGCCGCGCTCGAGGAGCCGCCGCAGGCGCAAGGAGGAGCAGCGCCAGAGCGCCCAGGAGCAGCCCAGTGACCAGCACGACGAGGGCGAGGCCATCATCCCATCGAGCGGGTGCCGCACCGCGTCGACGCCGAGGTGGTCAGGCAGGTGGTGGTGCCCTTCGGCGTCGTCAAGCACATCGCCTTCCTGTGCGACCACCGCCACAAGCGGGAGCCGTGTGTGCTCGTGGAGTTCCAGCGCCGCGCGGATGCAAAGCGCGCGCGGGAGTGCATGCGGTCGAACTACCGGTTCTACAAGACGGACCCGTGTACGGTGGTCGCGGAGTGGGCGAGCTGGCCTCGCGGCCCCGACCCAGGCAGCGACGGGGGGGATGGCCCGACCATCCAGCCGCCTGCCTGCCCGACGTGAGCTCGCAAGATGCGCTGGAGCTCCTTCGACCCAGGAGACGGTTGGGGCTGCGAGATGTGCCCCGCGGGCGGAGCTAGCAGCGGAGCCCTGCGGTGGCACTGCAAGGGGTGCGCCGTGAGTTACTGCGAGGCCTGCCGCGTCGGCTACGGCAAGCCCAAGACGGTGGTGGAGAAGGCCCGGCAGAGCGGCCACGCCGAGCGGGAGGCGCCAGGCCCCAGCTCCGGCCACGGAGAGCGCCCCAGCGCGGGTGCTGCGAGCGCGGGCGCTGAGGGGGACCGCCCGCCGGGCGACCTCAGCTGGCCCAAGCGCGAGAGGTCGCCCAGCCGCAGCCTGGCGCGGGGCCCAGCGTGGGCGCGCCGCGGCGACGACCCCCCCCGGCCGCTCGCGGCGTAAGACCGAGAAGCACGCCGGGCAGCTTCGCGCCCCCCGCGGCGGCTGGTACGAGCAGGAGAAGAAGAGGAGGCGCGCTGCGGCAGCCGCAGCAGAGGCCGCCGGCGGCGGGGGAGGGATCCCAGCCTGGCGCGGCAAGGGCTCGGGCGACAAGGGCGGCAAGGGCGGCGAGGTCAAGGGCAAGCGCGCCGGCGCGACCGCCAAGGGCGCCAAGGGCCGCGGCAAGGGCGACAAGGGCGGCAAGGGCGGCTACTCCAAGGGCGACCAGGGCAGCCGCGGCCCGAGCGAGCGCGGCAGGACCGGCGCGGGCAGCCGCGCTTCCAGGGGCGGCGATGGTGGCAGCCCTCGCAGAAAAAATGAGCGCGGCGGAGATCGCAGCGGCGACGAGGGCCGTGGCCGCCAGGGGGACACGCCATCCATCTAGGCGTGGCAGCGCCCCACATCCCGACGCCAGCGACCGCGGTATCGCGGGCTGCGGGCGGAAGACAGCGGCCCACTGAGGCGGACCGCCAAACGGGCCCAGGCCCGTGAGTGAGGGGTTGACTTGAGCATGGCGCGCACGTCGCGCGCTATGCGGCCCCCTTCTTTCTGCGCGCTGCGCGGGCGGGGCCGCGCTTGCGCTCTGCGCCCGGCGCATCGCGCGCCGCTTCGTTTTTCTTTCTTACTCTGCGCTCTTCGCGCACGCGCCGCGCCCGCGCTCTGGGTGCGCGGGGCGCGGACGGCCTCGAGGATGCAGGCTGGTGGCCGCGCGCGCGAAGCTCACCGGGCTTCGAGCCCCGCCCTGTGCCTCTGGCGGGGCGGCCCTGCGCGCGCTGCTGCGCTTTTACTTTCTCGTGGCCGTGCGGCCGCAGGCGTGCCAGAGCGCGAGCGCGTGGGCCGTCAGGGCCCACGCGCGCGCGCCGGGCGTGGACCGCCAGGGTCCGTGCCCAGGTGGAGGTGCGCGTCGCCACGCTGCCATGAGTAAAAATATCTCCTCTCCGTCCCTGTCTCCTCCTCTCCTCCTCCTCCTCCTCCTCCTCCTCCCCTCCCTCCGTTGAGTGCACGCGTATCTCACTTAACTTGTATAGTCTGATAGTTTTGTAGACTGCAGGTTAAGTGGGAGGGGGTGTGGGCTCAGGTCGCCATTTGGGGTCCGTAGCGTTCGGCTCAGGCCGACGCGCGGGTGCCCACCCACCCCGCTTTGCTCCCTGACGCCTGGGCCGCGCGGCCGCAGGCGTGCCAGAGCGCGAGCGCGTGGGCCGTCAGGGCCCACGCACACGCGCCGGGCGTGGACCGCCAGGGTCCGTGCCCAGGTGGAGGTGCGCGTCGCCACGCTGCCATTAGTAAAAATATCTCCTCTCCGTCCCTGTCTCCTCCTCTCCTCCTCCTCCCCTCCCTCCGTTGAGTGCACGGGTATCTCACTTAACTGGTTGTTTGCGTCGCAACGCTATGCCTGCTGTACTGCGGTGATTCTGAGGTTCCCCAAATGCAGTAGTCGGACGTGCAAACCATGCGCCTCGTTCGAGACATTCCTGGAATCTGGGCGCGAATGGGCAAGTGTAGTACCCCCTGGCGGCTCTTCTTGGGGTGTCCAGGCGCTATACCTCATACCTCTGTGATCATGGGGCTCTCACCTTGGGGTGCCCACATGTTTTGCCTGCTATGTCGCGGGGCTCCCCAGAGAGACAGGAATCGGAGGTGCGAAAGACTCCCCTCGCTCGAGACATCTTTGCAATCTGGGCTCGAACGGCAACTGTAACGCTCCCAGGCGGTTGCTCCTTGGGGTGCTCGCATGTTTGGCTGCTATATTTCGGTGATATTGTGGCTTTCAAAAACATGAACTGGAGGTGAACGACACGCGCCTCGCTCCAGACATCCCCGCAATCTGGGTGCAAAGGGGCCAATGCAGGATCCTCTGGCGGCTTCTCCTTGGGGTGTCGAAGTGGTATCCCTCATATTTTTGTGATCATGGGGATCTCAGAATGCTGGAGTCAGAGGTGCAAAACAAACGCCCGCTTTTAGACATCCCCGCAGTCTGGGCGCGAACGGTAGCTGTAATACTCGTTGGAGTCTTGTCCTTGGGGTGTCCAAACGTCATGCCAGCTTTGTGTTGGCGATCATGAGCGAGTCTGAGCACGAGGAGCCAGTATGAATCGGTCTGAGTGTGAGCCAGAAGGTGCGGGTCGGTCTGACTGCGAGCCTGAGAACGATTTAGTCTGACACTTATTCAGCCGAGTCTTAGTGGACATGAATGTGGGCGGTCTCTGCTTGATGGGCACTGACGAGTTGCACGGCATTATGGTCACTGCGCCCTCTCCTGTCAGACTTTCCGCCCCACTCCAATTGAACGTCGGATAAACAAATCATATTCAAACGGGTTGAGGGAATGGATGGAATGATGTCTGTATGGAGGGATTCTCTTGGGTGCGCCCGCGACGCCGCCCCGCGCTCGTTGCCAAGGGCTGCTCTGCGGCCTAGCCGCCCCGCGCGCCCCCCGCGACCTCGCCGCGTGGGTTCGTTTTTTTCCCCTCCTGTCTCTGCTGCCAGCTTTCTTCTTTCCTTCCTCTTACATGCGGGACAGTTCGCAATGCCGTAGCCTGGCTTGCTTGGGCGCGCGAGTGGATCGCTTCTACCGCGCCGCGACGGGAAAACGTGTGTTTGGATGGATGCATGTACGCACAGATAGACACAGTAATGATTTGAATTGTGGTTGGAGATTTATATGTGTGTGGGTGAATGGCGACTTGTCTGGATTCACATATGTGTTGCGTGGGTAGAGGGGAAGTGGACAGGGACGACTTGCTGCATGTATTTATTCAAGGGGCGATGGGTCGACGGAGGAAAGGGCTCCATGGCGTGGGGGGGCAGGGAGGGTGAAGGGGTTCCCGCCCCAG